ACCCCTAAGCCCTAATTGTTTCTTGAGACTGTCCTAATGCGTTTCTTCTTGACGAAAACAAATCGGAATTCAGCAGAATAGAATGTAGTTTTCAAAGATCTGGATAGTCTGTCCTCTGAAATGCAAGATGCCATATCTACCTTGAGTTTGATATTCTGTAGTAAAAGATGCTTCGTAACTGTGCAAGTTCATTCAAAATAACATCCTGATTTCTGACTACATTCAATGATTGAAATTGTTAAGTATCATTTTCCCGAATGGTTTATTAAATTTAATTCAGCTCATCACTATCAATTACGTCATCGGTGAATATTCGTCTAGCTCGTGAAGATGGAAAACAGATGAAATTACTTCCCCTACTTAGAGCATCCAAATCTGCAAAGTTCACATCAGCCTGTTTTTATTCTAATCGAGCTCTTCTTCGATGGACTTGATGGTCTCTGATAACTTTTTGGAACTCCTCTTTTTTACCACAGACTACTGTTTCCCCATTTATTCATGTACAAATACATTTGTGCGACTTCTACTGAAAGATGTAAAAGGAGAAAAGTATGAATAGAATGAATGGTTGACATTCATTAAGAAAAAACTGTCAGGTTTCAACAGGATATTAGATGTCTATTCATAATCATATTATTAATGACCTCAAACGTTCACCATAGACCTTGCTTACTGCCTTATAAATTCTTCACGATGCAGCGAAGTCATTCATTTGAAAGCTTTTGAAGTGATTATTAAGACGATTAGAGAATAGTGGGTTACATGTATGAACTAACAAAATGTAAGTGTTGATGTCGCGTAACTACATCAGCATGTAGCCCATTTAGGTTGCTGAACTTATCGCGTACTTACAACACATTCGCTTTTAAAAATATGTCAAATACACAGGTAGATATAAGGAGACACTGCACTGAACACTTAATAATGTCCGTCATACTCTTCCTGAACACAGTCACTCATTAACACTATTACATACACAGATACGTTTCCTCTGCTGATTAGATATTAGTCTACAGCATAGAATGAGCAATGTACCATGGAAAACAATTTTGATATTGAAGAATTAACGAAATTACTCAAAAGCGTTTCTTTCGACAATAGACTATGAGACTCGAGAAAACATTTTGATTAGTGTCGACATCATTTTCAAGTAAATCAATACAACCTCACTGAGTCGGGAGGTAAACCTTTTTGAAATATCATGAAAAACAAATATTCCCATCTCAGTCTGCTGAAATTATTATTCACTTACGGAAGTACAGACTTTTATTTATTCATCAGAATTCTATGTTTAGTGTGAGTTAAGTATACACTTGATATTATCTTAACACAGTGAAATTCTCGTATGTTCCGACACAGATTACAATTAATACAAGTTCAAATGATGTATGGTAATCATTCATCGAAACACTGAATTCGAATCAGTCCTCCACATCTGTATTGTCAAACGTTTTCAATTTTCAGATACAATAATCACTGTTGTTATTTCAAATCTGTGTCACGAGGGAGATATCGTTCTCCATTTTCAACAGTTCACTTTCAGTAAAATGCATTTTATTTCTCTTATTACATTCTTTCGAAAGCTCAATCAACATAACTGAATACAATTACATCTATTTCTGCGTTAATAATTTGAATAGATTATCCTTTTCATTTAGACACTTTTCAACAATCAGTGTTATAATATGGTAACGAAAAGAATAGATATGACTTTCTTTAAAAGTTACAATTTCATAATGAACGACGATGAAGTTCATGGGTAAAAGGGTAACTATTATTTTCCAATCAAAACAGTTTGTGCTACTTTGAATTCATCCAATCAAATCAAAACTACTGATCGGTGACGGTCAGTCAATAAATTACACCAGATAAGAAACTGTTTGTTCGTAGAAACATAAGCACAAATTTTGAATAACAACTTAGGCAACCGCATATTTTGAAATATTGTCAATCACAGGGGTCATGAATTTTAGATCAACGGCTGATAAATTTCAGCTGATCATCTCAACAATCAGAAGCGTATTGGATAATGATGAGGTCATTTACCTTCATGATTGGTTGTCAATGAACGTGTGATTTTAATAAATTAGATTTTTCCAATGGTCACTTTGAACCATCGAATCACAAAGAAACAAACAAACACTTCAAAAGTCTATATAAACCTGACAAGTTCTATCAAAATTTCATTTATAACTTTACACGAGAAGATGAGGTAAGTGTTGAATGAACATAAGATTTCAATGCAAATTTTGATACAATGAGATACCGTTGATTTGTTCATCTCGATCATTTTAGATATACCATTTTGCGTAGTCTGTGGTTATCGTTTCATCTGATCATCATTTGGCCAAATAGATATTTCAACTGCCAAGACATTTGCAAAAACTCTAATTTGCTGAACTATGAGAATATCATTGTTGAAAATGATTTGTACCGTTATGTAAGTTATGTCAGTTAAATTCTAATACATATACTCTAGTCTCTTCATTATCATTATTCAATGAGGATTCAGCTTAATCAGCCTCCACCAGTTTTCAAAAACAGTTATCAAAACTTTCGATGGTTATACGTGAGTTGAATTCATTTTGCAATAGAACTACAAATCCATATGTTTGCATCATTTTAGTCTATTGAACCGAAATTCTCCTTTCTATTCTACGATACTCCAATCTATGAAGTTCATATTTATTATTATGGTAAGCCAATAAATTTCGTTGAGCTCGAATTATGACTGAGTTTTCTTGATCAAATTTCTCTTCATGAATCAAAGTTGATTCAACTTCTTCAGTAAAACAGTTTGAGGTTTCTTGTTACATGAAAAACGTCTTTGAATATCTTTTCTCGTTCGAACTGTCAAAGGTGTGCCCTCTTACAACAAACAAAATACAGTTCATGCAATTGATTGAATTCTTTCAATAATTACAAAATCTCTTTATTTATTTACTGCAAAATTATCAATAATGTTGCATTTATTCATCAAATAAAAACAGGTAAGATACGTTTTACCAGAGCAGAGTACGACTACTTCGGAGGTATTGAAAATTTTGCACAAAAGATTTGGAGATCTGATACGGTGGTTTTCAATGAGAGTGAGCTTTTATAATATTCATTTAAAGTTTGTTTTGTCTCCTTTTCTCGCACTTATTTTGTATGAATGCCTCAGTATATTGCTTGATTATTACACGAGAGTTAACCAGTACACAGTGATTGTTCTGTTTGTGTGATTTCTGTACCTGAACGTCTGTGTGTAGCACGTTTTGAAGGTTAGCCGTAAAATAAACGAGATATTGTTTTGAAAATATACACATTGGGTGAATTGGATTGATAATCCAAGTGACAAAATTGCCAGAAATAAAATTACTCACCCTCCAGTCTATGAAAACAACAAAACAGAAGATATCTCATCAACACCATATTTCGTGGTAAACTGACCACTTGTGCAATGGTAAGCGATGTTGTTAGAAGAGTCGGTTTGAATTATTGAAGTGTTTGAACTATCAAGGTTTTCTAGCATATACTTTATCCATGAAAGTTCAATGTCTGTGATTTGTTGTCTGTGAATCATCGACTATGTGAGACTATTTTTGTGATCATATGGGTATGATACTGCACTTCGAATCCTAACATTTTCCAAAACAGTTAACTAATGAACAGCCATAACATGTCCTCTCGTACAGTACGAATAACTCATATAAGAACACTTAGAACATCAACGCGACATACATTTATTTCGGTCAGAAATCAGAATTGACGAATAACAGAATCTCTTGAAAAGATTTTGACGATGTACTGTCGATAAGGTATTGAACGTCTATTTCTAAGTGGAAAGCTTCTAGAACAAATTTCAATGAAGCGAAATATACTGCTCAGTTGATTGTATTAAAAGGTTGATCATCTCGATAATTCAGATTACTTCCTGAAATGTCCTACTAAGAGATGATTGGGAGCTTAGCTACACCGGTTTATTTTATTCTCGAAATGTAGATGTTAACTTGTTTGAGAAAGCAGTCCGTGTCAAAACGTACATTGATTGAAAGAGGTAGATAATCGATATTCAGATATTTTATCATCTATTTTGATTTTCATTATTTTAGACGAATTGTTAGCAGTCAAAAGGAATTTTGTAATTACCGTCAATGATAAAGGTGAGTAAACATTGAACAATCGTTGGATCAAACGTGCGAAACTTTTTATCACTCACACTTCCAATCATTATGATTACTCAACTTTTGCGTGTTCGCTTTGAACAAATCCAGCTTTCAAAAAACTAACAAAAGAGTGAAGGTGCTACTATTCTGGAAAATGAGGGAAGACTGAGTACAACCATCTTGACATAGAGAATAGGTAAAGTGAGCTGAAAAAGAATATAGTTGACGAGTAATAAATAAGTCAGCATGGATAAAATAGGTGAGAATCTCATTCCACTTGTCGTAAAATGAATGTAGAGATTATTTATCGTTTCAGGTTTCAGTGACAAAGTCATTTCTGAATATGACACATCCACCTACCTATCCATTGATCACATAGTCATTCCTTACTATTAACGATTATCTACACATATCTAAAGCTTTTCCGTTCTCATCTACAACAAAAAGACACAGTAGTCAGATTCAGTAGACTGATGGAAATTATTATATATGTTGACAACCAACTAAATCCTCAAGTTTAATGTAAAGACGAACACTTCATGGCTCATGTCATGCGTACTTGTAGTCTATCAGATCCCTGATGGCAAAGTAGACGATTCGTTGCTTTTATAATTATACAGTAGTAATATAGCTTCAGAATCTTGGCATTTGACATTTGTTGGACAGGTTTCATGCCCGTCTCATTCGAATGACGTTCACTTAAATGTATTAATTTCTATTCCATCTGAAGAAATCATTTCAGATAACACACTGGATATCTACTGCAACCTATGCACCTTGTTACCTTGTTAATCGATAAAACCTCAAATTCTGAGTATCGACAATCTTCTTATTGTAGATGTTCTAGTGAAAATGACTAGTGTAATACAACCAAATGGGAAAATAACTTGGTATTTTGATGACGTAAGTTTCACAATCTCATGAAAATGTAATTTTTTTCATGTACTTTAGATCATTCTACTGTTTCATATTATTCAATCCTGTCAAAGGTATCTGGTTACGTTGACCATAATAAAAAGAGATTAACATTGTGTAATGAGCAAACGGACTAGTTGACAAGATTGTCAATCGTTTTAATGACACACTATGAAAGCACGTGTTGAAAATAATGAATAATCAGAAGCGAAAATCTATCAGAATAAATAATCATGTGTTTGTGATGAATATTAAAGGATAGTGTGTTTGAGTACTATACAGAATGTGTCATATTCTGTCATGCTCCATTTCATCTTGTTAAGATTAGCTGTTCGGATTGTTCATTGTTGAAAATCCAGGTTGCAGCATCCTCACAGTTATTTACCATCATATTTCATTTCAACAGACGAAAATTTACACCTCACACTACGTCGCCACATATCATGATTGAAAGATAGTTCATAAGACTTGAATGAAGTTGACAACCGTTGTGATTTGGAATATTTTTACACATTGAATGGAACATTTGTGGAGAGAAAACTGAAAATATCATCAAGATTAGTGTTAGTGTGATTAGTTGTCTTTCTATGAATTGATATAAATGGAGACATTTTTTCTGTGATCAATTGATTTCACTTAATTGATTGTGTCGTTACACATACTGACTCAGAATTTCAACACTTTGCTTTCAGATTCCTAAGGAAATTGAAGGAACAAAGTGGGAAGCGACAATCAACGCTTCATTCAAATGCGGAAAAAGTAAGAAACATTTCAACAAACCTTGTTGAAACATTGATGTACGGTGATGAACTTGTAAGATATCCATATATCCTATCACAGCCTAGTAGTATAGCTTTCTAACAGTTTGCAATAATCAGTTATTTCTTGTGTAAAATCGGCTGGTGAAAATGCTATCGAAGTGTTGTGTATAATTGTGCGAAATGGAATTCAAATGATATTTGTAAACACCCTGTCCAAAATGTTCTGAATGTTGAGAATTTAACGTTGATTAAGTGTTCACATTTTTTGTAAGAAAACTGCAGTGTTATACCTGATTGGAAATCACAGTGTCGGGTTATTTAAAAGCGTATGATATCAGTGACTACGTCTTTTCAACAGAGGATCATCATGGTTAAATGAATTGAAATCTAAGTATTTATGTCTTCAGTTCATGAACTATCATTTTTGAAAAATTACAGAAATTATTTTAGTGATATATGTGAATCAGTTGCGGTTCCCAAAATCAATCAATGAATACTCGAATGTAGTGTGAAGTGAATAATGCTGAGTTTGATTCCTCGACGTGTTCTTACTACGACAAAACGCGTGTCTGAGATTGAAGTATAATCATCTATGTTCAACTGATTTCTTCGCAAAATAATTCGAAAATCTACTGTTTTGATTTTTGATTTACTGGCTGATCATCTGTCACATTCAAAACTGAGAGCAATGTCAACCATAAACCTAAGAGTGATCATCACTGTGTACGTATTAAAATACTCAGTAGTTCTTGATTTTGATGGCTTCTAAAAAAGTGCAAATTACTTGTTATACGTTATGAAGAAACCAAAATTTCGAGTGTCTTTTTCCTTTCAAGGTTTATTACATCATGAAATACCTGTTCCTGCAAAATGGATCAAAAGTGGCACGTTGGTGGAGTATGAAGTCATCGGAAGTACGTAAAACCCTATTTAATAAGCATTAATTATTTTTATACTCAAAAAGATCACTTTTGTTTATCGAAACTGAAATTTTTGTGTGTAACTGTAGTGAACTAATGAGTGATATCCAGGCATCCATTTCAAATGACGTTTAACTTACTATTTATAACTTTACCACAAAATGAAAGATGGGATACTATTAGTTTCAAAAAGTGTTAAGTGCCAGTTAAGTGATTGTGTATTGTGGATTGAGCGTCCGTTTCTCTTTCATTATATGTCTTGTGGAATTTTTCTGAGGCATTATTGTTGTGAATACAATCCATGTGACTGAGTTTACCTTGAAAACGTCCGTCTTATTTTCGTAATCTTTGCTTTGTCATACACATCCGATAATTTGATCAGCGTTTGAGTAATAAATTCACAAAAGAATGCGTTCCTTCTCAATAACCTATACCATGAATACTTTTCAGTATGCCATGTGTTAGCCTTTTGAAAAAAACATTGAGAATATTCAAAGAATCATTCCTTTAATCAATCATGAGATGGACTTCGATAGACTTCATCTTTCATTCTTTACACTCGATGTAGTTTCACTCAATTCAAACACGCCATCGTGAAATATTGGTGGAATGGAAAAAGCACTGAGTTTTATATTATGCATCGCGTGAACCAATTTCCACCGAATGGAAATGTCAGAAATCACCATCACATGACTTACAGTTACAGGTTTTGTGTTTTTCTTTTCTTTTGTTTGATAACTTGAAACTAAAACAACTTTTTCTTTTCATAGAAAATTGTTGGAACTTCAATACAAGTGAAGCATGCCAAGGAGCGACCACACCGAATATGAGATGTATTTGGTGTCCAAAAGTGAACAAATGTATAGAAAGTAATGATGATGACACTCATGGACTGAAAGTAAATGACTGCCGTGTTGAGGTTGGTACTTCTTGAACTTCACAGGTCTTTTAAAGTATCCTCAAATTTCACATTCCGAGCAAACGTTTTTACCAGAAAGAAAATTTTATTGCTATCATTAGGAACTGACAAGTATTTCTCCGTCGTTGACCAACTTAAAGCTTTTTGTACAATGAAGATATATAATCAAGTATTGAAACAATGCGTCTTTTTCGCGAAGTGCAAAGTCGATCGAAACTTCACTCACCAAAAACGTTTGAAGGCGTTGACATTTTTAAGCTCATTGAATGCTTCATAATTTCAAAACTCTGAAAAGAATCCGTAGATCTATGTGAATTATCAAAATATAGCGATGAGACCAGTTGAAACGAAGAATTTTCAACTAAAAAAATATTGTGCACGACGTTACAATAATTAGTGTGAGTTTGTAGACTACGAGTGCTACAGTCCAGATTAACGATTTCTCATTCTCTATCTAAAAATGGGTAATCTGAATTGATTGCTACAATTAGGCCGTCAATTTTAAGTCTATCGATTTATATCAGCATTTTGATGAGATATGAAATCCAAAACACACATTTCACCACAGAAATGAGTCCTCAACTAGGTGTAGGATAGTGTGTGCTGAGCACACTGGTTGTTAATCACTAGTAGATATCCTAAATGATTGTACAAATGCCAATTCTGCAACTTTTTGTGGAATTCTCTTGTGACATCATTACTGACAATGGTGTGATGATTAGTGAAATCAACAATGATGTTTGATGTATGATAATCAATGCTTCTGTTTGATTTATTTGGAAGAACTCAGGTGTCAACGATTTAAGTACTTAAACACCCATCAAACACATTGAAACGCCTATGCAAACACCTAAAGTTCAGGTTAGACAAAACCTAATAAAAACTACTGAAGACACTCATGAACACTTGGTAGATATTTGATATTAATTGAAATTTGCTAATTCTTTGTTTTTCTACAGAATCACCAAAGCAGGATCACCGAAGCAACGTAGGAGCATACACCAGACAAGTCACATGGATACTTTGACATTCTATATCCTCTGGTCTCTCTATTTTTCATGTTTTTCGGTTATATAATGTGAATGTGATTACTCATAAGAAAGAGCAGTGATGAATGATTCTCAAAAACGTCTTATAAATCGCTTTGAAAACTCTGTAAACGTTGTCTCAATTTCGTATTTCCATTGAATATTTTGAAATTTCTTTTTTTGATTATAATAAATTGGATAGTTTTTTCATTGTACTTTGTATGTTCTTTCCATAGTCTACATATTAGCTGATGTAATCTTTCTTATAAAACATGAAACATTATTTTTATTATTTGCGTTATCGCCTTCATATCATCGAAAGTTGTTTTCCTGATAATTGAAATCAACAATGAGTTCTAAGTGATTGTTCATTTTGATGGAGTAATGTGTCGGAACACTTATCAATACTTAACCAAACACTTCCATATTTCGTAACTTGATTATCAAGTATCAATTATATGCTCAGTAACAAGCAGGTGTTAACGAGATGTCATCAAGACTGATTACGATTCCTTCCATGTTTTTGTTGTTAATATGTGGACTATAGGTTCAATAGTTTCCTTCAAATCTTAGTTATTATGTAAGCCTAAACCGGAGTTTTCTTTATCGGCATCACATGTGATCCTTATGCTTTGAATCAATATTTGATGGCTGCAAGAGTTAGTGGTTTTTGTGAGTAAAGCTTTCAGTGTCAAAGTTTTACGCTCACATGCACCCTATAATTGACGATAATGAGATTTTTAGTCACATTCATTATAATGAAGTGCTTTAAAGTCAAAACAGTTTGCTACTGAGGATGGTTTCAGTTTTTTGGACAATTGATAAAGTTTTATGAATAGCCACGAATAACTTTTGCAAGAAAAATTGATTCAATTTTTTCAAGTCTGATCAAGTTAAAAGAATATCAAGCATAAGATAAAGTTGACAAAAAAACTAGGGTAATCACAATAATGCTATCATTTCTCCATTGAATCCATAAGTATCTTATAAGTTTTCTTCTAGTACTGATAACCCTCAAATGACCAACGGAGTCTCTCCACCAGAAGTTCTACTTGGCAGGAAAATATGAGCACATCTCGACGCAAGCTCATTAACCTCAACTAAACGTTCAATCGACATCACGGGGCAGAAAGACGATTGCTCACGGTGGGTCAAAATGTACTTGCTATAGACTATCATGATAAACACCCAATCAGCGCCGTTCGATTCTTGGGGAAGACTCTTGAATGTCTTCACGTAAATACTATAGATATACCTACATATTTATGATTGTGTTTGTTAATTCCTTCCCAACTGTTATTCGGATTATAATTTCTTTCCTGTCCAACCATAATCCGACTTGGGGACCTGTTGAGTGAATTGGTGTGCAGGAATAATAAGCAATAGGAATATCTGGGTCGTAACAATAGAAATCATAACAAGAGGCTCACTGGTTTTAAAGTTGAGAGTTTTCATGCGGGACTGAAATTCCTGGTTGCAGAATCGTGGATGCGCTCTGCAAAGATGTCTCATACTAAGAAAAATCGATCATTCGTTCCTTTCAGGCTTTCAATTATTATCTTACATTGGTCTGTTCATCCTTTCTATAAAATTAAACAATCTCTACAACCTCACGGTGTCAAATATATTCATTATATTAAGCAGACATTCAATCAGGCAATCTTCATTTTAACAGGGATGTTATTTCCATCAATCCTGCAAACTAAAATGCATTCGGAATTCAAGTCTCAATATAGATACTAACACTAAGAAGTTTATACGAGGTGTGTATTCATTGAATAAATCCTGAAATAGGGACAAAACATGTGTCAGATATTTTCACTTCTCACTACTATCACCAATAAATAAACAATTTTAAAGTATAAATTGGGCCACAATGACAGACAAATATATTTCACTTAAGCTGGTGTTATTTAGTTTGTTTAAATCCTTAAATCTGTGTTTATATAACCAATAAACCTTCTTCACCGCTGTGGATGAATTGTTGATTATCAATCATGATGGAGACATTGCAAAGCGGGACTGTAGTCACTCTCCAAGATAGTATCATTAACCCGTTTTCTTAATTTCAACAGCAAGTCCGTTTTGATTGACGCTCATTTTGTGAACCTCTTCATAGGCTTTTTTGTGCACAAACACCTCACTACTCCTCACTACATAGTGCTTTGAAGTATTTTCAAACGTCCTCAAGATTCGTTTCGTATAACGAATGACTCAGTGTTGTAACGAAACATCGAATGCATAGCCCCACATATGTCAATCTATCTATCTTCGTAACCTACTAATCACGAACAAAACGAAATATTGTCTAAACTTTATTCATGCAACAATTCATACTCATATACAGGCAGTTAAACTTGATCTTTTGTATGTTGTATGTGATGTACGCTTATTACAAAAGTGTGATTACATAGTTGTTGTGTTGTCATTGAATACTTGTTGACATCTAGGATGAAAAGTATTATTATGTGTGATATCCCATCACAATACCAATGATCACATAACATAATGGATTAAACAACGCACTACCATACATCAACGATTGATGTCATGCACCTTCAATCAAATGAATAAGATAAAATGATTGTCCTGGACTACATGGCTTTATATATGGTCTTTTCTACATAAGGACGAAATACATTCAACTACACATATACATTTATTTCTATTTGTTATGCATATTGTTGTCCGTCATTTGTTGAATCAAGTTACCTGCTCCTTCTTATTATTCTGATCCTTCGTAACCCTGTTAAAATCATAAAAAGAAGAGTTCATCATGAATGAATGCGTTCCATGTTCAACAAAAGCCAGACAACTTGACAATGTTCCATGAGTATCAAACAATGTCGTACAATTGCATTGATAAGATTATATATTATTATAATTATAAAATGGTTATTATTATGTAATGAAGTATTAGCAGATTGATCTGTTCTGTATTCATTTAACCCTGAAAATAAGAAGTGTGAATACGTAATTTTGTAATTTCTTCAAGCTTTATAGATTGCACATTAATAAACTAGAACGCAACTATCATATCTCATGACGGCCGTCCAGTGCTTCCAGGATTTCCATGGTGGTCTAGCTTCAGCTGACTCATGATTTCAACTATGATAATGATAAATAATTAATAAGCTTAACTTTAATTATGATAGCCGGTAATACACTGTCGAAATGAATCAGCTGTATCATCACATGTTGTAGACTTGTGATACTTCATAGTTGGACATTCAATAAGGTGATATATATATGGTCTGCCATTGTAGTTATACAGATTTACATTGGATAATTTGATTGTTAAGTAAAAAGATTTAATGTTTCTACACTTTTAAGTAAATAGAAACCTATTTAAAGTGAATAACACAATTCGAATAATCAGTCACAATGTTCAGTTCGAAAGGTATGTAGTTTTTCAACTGAGTTAATCGCCATCATCTTGAGGTTCGCTTGGAACTAGGATCCCTTTTAACTGCTTATTAGAATCTTACGACATAGATACAGCCCTCTAAGTTTTCAGATAATGTTTAGTAATAAGTATTTAGACAAATCTTGAAGTTTATAGTTGAATTCATGAGTCAATTGAAGCTAGACCACCAAGGAAAACCTGTAGGCATTAGACGGCCGTTTCGTCCGATTGTGGGACTCCTCAGCAGTGCGCATGCACAACCTCGCCCCTCGCGAGATTCGAATCCAGGACCTATCAATAGACCACTGTACCGGCATCCGATGGTGTTTATGTCTAACTTCAACCAATACACGAAGTTGAGCAACCGTTCACCAATTGTCTTCAGTGAGTTACTATCTCACAACAGACGTGGTTTGAACTCTACTGGTTACTTTATATTCCATAAAAGTTTCGGTAATAGTTCACTGCTGAAACATTTATTCACGCTCTCAATGCAGACTTTAACAACCCACTGAAATTAAATGTCTGACAAGTTTATGACACAAAAACACATCGCATAAGCAAATTAGACAGTTATTGTTAAAACTTTCAGTTCCCTATTTAAGTAGACAATTGGTTTCTTATTATGATAATTGACTTCATAATGTGAAAGGGAAGTAAGACTCAAAGAATACATGAAATGAATATCTTAACATTGAAGAGATCATATAACAATCCTATAAAGCCAATTGGGGTTTCCTGAATAATATAATATAATATGAATAACAAACGTCTATGGATTTGTAATCAGAACATGTTCATTATTAGATCTTATTATTCATTATCTCTGAGATGGTGGAAAATATTTGTAGCTCAGGTGAGTGATTATGACGTGGGTTTGTTCTCTGAGCTGGATGGTTCGGTCGTAGAGCTTTCATCGTCCTTCTGAACGACATCATCAGCACAAACTTCGGGTAGAATTGAAGTGTTTAAATTTCTCCACAAAACGTTGAATTGACTTCAAATTCATCTGCGGAAACTTTACAAATACATTCTTCTTCTTCTCCTTATGTGCACATCAACTTGGTGCCCAAGTACTGTGAAACCATTTGATTGAATGGTCTAATGTATTCGATCAGTGGGTTTGTTTTTCTTTGAATTCCATTTTGTAAGAATGCCAAGACTGATTCAATGTAAAAATTTTTATTTCATCTAGTTACATCGAAGAGGATAACAGTAAGGTTAAATTTGTCGAACTATTTGGAGGGAAGTTATCGTTTGTATCTTTAATTTATAATAAATGGACGTCAGTACTACTGCATGTGTTATTCTTCTATTTGGACGCCTTCTTCAACCTATTCAGCGTTGCGATGATATCTGTTATTATTACAGATTTGTGATTAGTTAACTATTTCCCTTTTGTATCATCATCATATGAATTAAGGTAGAGTTATGCCTACATCGGACCATTTTTGTTTTTGTTCTGTACAATCAGGTACTCATATTATTTTGCTTTATGAGTTTTCAACTTTATATGAATAGACCTAAACTGAGAAAATATCTACTTGCCAGCATTCTC